AAAGTTTGATTAGACCATTTCTAACGTATGCTTTAATAATCTGGTGGACTTCTTTGGATAAAAAGTTTAATATCAAACTACTACATGATATGAGCCAGACTATGGAAACATTAGATACTCCACCTATTGAAACATATATAAGATACCAGGCAGCACTTATAGCCGAAAGCTCATAACTTTAGGCGAACTGACCAAAATCGTTTATAGGACATGTAATCAATGTATACTGGACACATTGAAAGACTATACACAATCATCGGACGTGTCCGATAGCATGCCAGACACAGAACTTTGATACACAGACTCTAGATAGAATGTCATGATCAAACGGAAACAAGAATCGTTGCTACATGGATGGCTCTAAATGGAAGTACAAAACGAGTCTAGAGTTCTATATTGAAGACCCAGAAACAGAAATAAGTACTTTACCGTTTACCTAATCGAAGCTAGATTTTAGAAATACTATACTGATATCCGTAAAGATTCTTCACTGATCCCAGATAAAATGTTGTGATCAAACGGAAACAAGAATCTGTTGCTACATGGATGGCTCTAAATGGATGTACAAAGCGAGCCTGTTAAAGATTTTTCAGAATAAAATGTTCAATGTAACCATTTTTGTAAGAAATTAAGAAAAAAAATCCAATGTTTTCCGCATAATCAGAAAATATAGCCATAAATTGATTTTAATTGCTTAATCTTGTAAAACGTGACCCCACTACAAAGTAGTTTCCTTCAGTCTATTTGATTTAATAAAGGAACAATTTTAGCTGGCAATAAAACTCCATGTACGTTAATGTTTATTTATCTCTGTCTCTAAAGGTTTATTTGGATAAGCCAATTATTATATTATATGACATTTGTTTGTGTAAAGTTAATAAAGAAAAAAAAAAAAATAATTATAATTTTATTTTATAATTATAATCAAGTATTTGCGTAACGAAACAAAATGGAAAAAAAAAATAAAAACTGATTAAAATATACATTATGAAAGATGCATTGTTAATGTATTCCAATGTTGTATTCATAAACGAAATAAAAATGCATCTAAAAAGCAACTAAAGAAATAATAAAAATTGAAAAAAAAAATATACAAAAAATACACACAATAATAAAGTTTAAGACCGCACCCTACAAAAAGTTAATTTGCTTTTTTTATAACCACACGCGCCTTAAAAACTATAAAGAAGATAAATAAACAAGAAGTAAACCCAAGAGCTTTAAAAATGGATTTTTATAATATAAAGCAAACTAATTGTACTGCACTATAGAGCAGTGACAGTTTAAAATTGATAAACCTTATCATAATATCAATTAAAATATAGGGACAATATAGCTCTGTTAAAGAAAATCAACATAGCTCCCCAGCATGGCATACCTTCCCCGCTTGCCAAGCGAATGCACAAAGAAAGAAAAGCAATTTGGAAAAATCACAGAGTCATACACAATTGTAGTCACAGACAATTATTGCCAAGTTAAAACAACACAATCTATCTATGTTTGAATTTAATAAATATGTACCCAGCAAAAACTCGGTAATGGGTTGTACTTCTATAACCACTTACTTTTCAATGACTACTACTTACCCTCTGCATTATTTAGAAGTACTCTAGTAATGACTTACATATAATGTGTTACAGAAGTACTTTATTTTCGGGTGATTTCCGAAATTCTATACTAATTCATAATAAAATAATTTTGAATGATTGAATTTTTGTTAGTTACCTTTTCCAAATTGATTTCAAATATTTTTCGCTATGTTCGACTGTTTGTTCAAAAAAAATTTCTATAAATAACATTTTAATATGTTGGGTTAATTTTGTTTTGGTTAGCAAAAAAGCTCTTTAAAAATTTCATACTATTCGCGTAATGGGAACAAGTTAAAATGTTTAAAGATAATATTGTATTTGCATCTGGAGTCCTATTGTCATTAATTATTATTTGCTGTATTGTGATATGTATTGAACGTGTAGCATGTAATATTGATGAATCCTGTTCCATATCACAGAAAACCACAATTTTCTGAAATCCAAAATTAGTAGCAATATTTATAATGGATCACGTGATAAATATTGAACATGTAACATGTTTTGTGATATCAATCACGATACCTTTGTAAAATTTCGAAAAATAAATAAAATAGAACAAATAACAATGAAATATTGTTTTAAAAGTTTTTAAAAATTATAAAAGATAATTATTTATTTTCTAAATTTATGTTAATTCGGGATTTTTGTGCATTTCTTTAATCAGAAACAGAAAATATTTTTGTTTCCACACTATTACATTTAAAATCAAAACTTGATTTCATTTAATGAAACTTCAATATAAAAAATCAAAGAAAAAAAATTAATTTTCAATTTAAATTTTATTTTATTTCTGTATTTAATCATACCACTAGTGGTTTGTGCTGACGTTTGACTCACAAAAATATTTGTCCAATACCCACCTTAAAGTATACTAATCGGCTTAGAATCATGTTCCTTTTCGATGTCCGTCAGTGTGGTTGGCTTTCCATGTAAACCTTGTGTACTATTTTTAAGATAATTTGATGAAATTTGCCACATTGGCAAGATCGAAGCCTATTGAAAATAATTAAAATAGGTCCTTTATTTCATCTATTAAAATTATGACAAAATTCAACGTTAGTGCTTCATTAAAAAATAACTCATATTAGGATATGATATGGTCGGCTATCCCGGCTATACTTTCCTCAGCCATAAATAGAATTTATAAATTCTAATCGTTTAGAAAATTTTAAAAAAATTGTAAAATACTATACGACTTTAAATGTTTACACTTTATACTTTTCCATTTTGCTTATTAGAATAGTGTGTAAGGGCTTTAAACAGTCATAAACATAAACACAGCGTCCAATATAAAAAAATAAAGATAATTAATAAGGTAACATTTTCAACCATAATATACTAACATAACTCCGAATTTTCGAATTTAGTTTAGATTTTATGAACATTAAAGTACATGGTCTTTAGATTTCTTTATTGTCCCAAATTCCACCCGAATCGGGCTACGGGAACTGGTCGAAAATTCAGTTTCAAAAACCATCTAACAAACAAACAATGAAAGTTAAATAAAGTCTTGTAAAAAACATTTTACTTACTACCTATTTGTCAAATTTGACTGTATCATCCATATTGTCACCTAAAACGCAAACGGCCTTATCTAACATTTTTTAAATTTTACAGGAGAAGCACAAAACTATTTACATTAAAAAGTTTGTTTCTATCAACGCGATTTATTTGTAGTAAATAAACAAATTGTTCAATACTGAAACGTATCAGTTGTTATAATAGTTGACAATGGCGTATATAAAATGGATATATTGGCCCTTTTGTTTTTTGTCAATTAAATCGCTAATTTTGGTCGGAGGAGCCCAATTCTTTTGTATGGACATTTGTTGTGAACATTAGAATCAACAATAAAATCGATTTTGTATGTTTGGTTAGTTAGGGCCGTTTGCGTTTCAAGTAACGATATGAGGTTCCCAAGTTATTACAAAATTGTGAACTTATAATTATATTCGACATAAAAAATGTGTTTCAAGATCATAATCTCTTCTAAATTCTGTAGAGCTCCGTCCATAATTGAACCAAGTTCCCATTATAAGCCCCATGACGAATATCACACCAGTGTCCACATTAATATTGATATAAGTATAATAATCAAATTAGGCATAAAGAATAAGTCCACGTATAAAGACATCTTCCAAAAACTTCACGTACATGTACATATATTGAAACATTTTGTACAAAATTAGTCGATAACAATTTTAAGTGAAAATATATAAATAACAAAACAAAAAGTGGGTTTGGGTGAATATCCACTGCTGCCACCCGGCAGTTGTCCGGCAGAAAAAGAACATATTAATTTTCCTTCAGTTGTTTTAAGTACACATAGGCAATGTCAATTTAAGCAACTGCACTGCTTGAAAGGCTGTGACATTCGTTGTTCCAAAACATTTGTATACATAAAGGCCTGACCTCTCGAGATGTTTCTGATGGGAAATGCATTGTTTGCAAACTTTTGTTCAAATTCTTTTGGTGTTCCACAAAGTAGTTTTGTTTATTTGTTTTTTATTTTGATAATGGCGGCTTTAATATTAGTGTTGCATTGATGTGTATAAGTAAACTGAGTAACCGGTGTTACAAAGTAAATAGCAGTGATGACAACTTGTTCATGAAAAATCGCTTAAATCCCTTATAAATCTCTAATTTATTTTTGTTTAAAAAACCAAAAAATATTATACTTCTTTTTCTAAAACAAAAAAATTAAAACATGAAATACATACACACATATGTATGTATAATCACCATTGGATATTAAAGTATTTATATAAAATACATTTATACAAATATACATACATTTTTAAAAGCTTTATATTGTGTATAGGCATCTATAGTTGAAACAAAAAGTCGACTTGTAATATTTTTTGTGTTTTATGAAAAGTCCACTTTTCGAGCTTATTTAATTTTTTCCCCGACTTTTCGCCTTTTTTCCGACATTTATTTGCAAAATCAAATATTCGACTTTTTTCTTACAAGATAGTCGACTTATCGACTTTGTTAGGACAAAAAAGTCGACTTTGACTTTTCGAGTTTTTCCGACAAAAAGTCGATTCTTCGATTATTTTAAAGACAATTTTTAGAATCCTTATTGTGTATGTTGTGGCTTTTGAATTCTAAAAAAATCTTTTCGTTATCTATGTCACTTCAGAACATAAAAATTTGCTTCGAAAGTTCCAAAACTTGTTTTAAAATCAGAATTGAGGTGAAAAGGGTAACAAAACATTTTTAAATGCTTGTGAAATCTTGATTTCATGTGAATTTGAAGTCAGAACACACACAAATACTAATTTACATAGTTATAAAATATGGATTTTTATGACAATTATCAGCGATTTTCAAACCGCTAATATTCATTGTAACTTTTTATTTTATATAACGTAGACATTATTGAATACTTAGTATTCATTAATTTTACAAAACTACCGATTACATTTAAATATATAAAGTTCAACAGAAAACGCGCAAGTGAAAAATTATAAAATTTAAGTTTATTAAAAACAAAGAAATTAAAAGGAAGTGAGATTATTTGAAAATAATAATAAAACTGAAAACTACTTTGTGGATTAACTGGTGAAAAAACTATAGTAAGTATGAACTATTTGTATATATGGGGAATTCTCTTTTTGTTTTAGATTTTAAGAAATCAACTTTGTGCATTAAATATTTCTTTCGTTTAATATTTTGAAACTTATGTGATGACGAATTTTTATACACAAGACTTGAAGGAATAAGGCCATAAAATTTTGTGGTCAATAGTAGTTCCATGTTATAGAAATGAACACTTAAAGTTAAAATTTCTCAAAAAACTGATTGAAACCAAGTAGTTCTTTTTACAACTTTTTGATATTATGAGGGCGGCTTACAAATGAGCTGTTGAAGGCAGTATACACTTGTCGAATGACTATGGTCTATATTTAATGGTTGTGCCATTTAGAAGTAAAGAATTACGTGGCCACAAAGTTTTGAAACCAAATTTATACAATTTTACAAAATTTGCAGTTTTTTGGATAGAATATTTGCGGCTCTTCGGTTATGCAAAATTTTGAAGTGAGAAAAAGTAGCCATTGTAATTACGCGTCGTTTGATGTATGTCCCCAAAATGTGCTCTGGAAGATGTCACTATGGGAGAAGCTTAAATATTGAAAAAGTAAACGTGGAAGTTTCGATAAATGAGCTTTTTCGTGAAGCACACTAGCAGCGTAATTTCAATATACCCAAAATATCGCGTGAGCGAAATACTTTTAAATTTTACATGTTGAAATCTTAAAGCCGCGATAAAATATTATCATGCATCGAATATATGTATAAATAAATTAAAATCGCCATAATTTTTAATCTATCAAACATAAATGCATAATTTTGTTAGTTAATGATTAGAAATTAATGGATCAATTCCTTACGTTTGTAATATAACGACATATCCTTCTCTTGAAATCATGGTGCAGTTAAAAAGTTGAAGTTGTTGTTATTTGTTTATTTTTGCATTATGGTCCAATTTTCAATACGATTTGAGAACGCTAATGTTTGAATGTTTATTATCAGTACAAAAATTAATATAAATTGTATACTAATTTGTAGTAGCTTATTGTTCCTTCCAGATATGTATAAAGGAACACACACTAAAAATTTGTAGAAATCGATTCTGTTGAGGCTAATAAGGTATTCAGTTATAAACAAACAATAAAACAAATAAAGAAGCATTTATCCATTTATATATACATATAGATTCAACGAGTGAGTAAATTGTCCGTGTAATCATGCTCAGTAAAAGGCAATATAAGAGGAATATAAAAAAAATAAAGGAAAACATATTAAATGTAAATCAAACATCCACTCAGCCGGAACATAATGCCACGTCGACTGCAACCATTTCCAAAAATACATTTGTATTGCCTCAAAGAGAAAACATAGTAACTACACAAAATGTTGACGAACTTAGAGAAACCGAAATAGGTCCATTACATTCACACGAAACATTATCTGAAAAATTACGAAAGTGGTTTCTTGAACACAAACCAACAACAGAGTGTACTACTGATTTGCTTAAAATTTTGAAATCAGAAAATTTAAAAGTACCGACGTCTGTACAGGGTCTTGTTGGCAAATATACCCTATGTAATGAACGAACAACTACTCCCGGAAAATATGTGCATATCGGTTTAATAAATCAGCTGTGCAAAATTACATGTTTATTAGAAGAACTACAACTCGAAGAAGTCTCTGTGGACATTGGAATAGACGGTTTACCCATTTTTAAAAGCTCCGCCGTTGGTCTGTGGCCTATATTAGCCCGATTTGTTAATATTCCACAGTGTGGTGTTTTCATGATAGGATGTTATGTAGGCAAGCAAAAACCAGCAGATGTAAATAATTATTTACATGATTTTGCTGCGGAGTTAATGGAATTGAAAAATAATGGTTTTGATTGCAATGGAAAACGAATAAACATTAAAATAAGAGCCTTTGTATGTGATGCCCCAGCAAAGGCATTTGTATGTGGGATCAAAGGACATATGTCTCTTAACGGATGCTCTTGGTGCAGACAAATTGGTGTTCGAATAGATAATGTTAACACATTCTCAACATATATTGGAGAAAAAAGAACTAATGAAGATTTTCAACAGAGAACATTTAAAGATTTTCATAAGCCGATGTATTTGGAACTGCAAATGAAATTAGAAGTTGTCGGTATTAAAATGATGACTCAATTCCCCTTAGACGCAATGCATCTGATTGATCTTGGTATAACAAAAAAGATTTTGAGTGCTATAATAAACAAAAAGACCATAAATCAGGTAAACCAGTCATCAATACAGCAAATATCAGAAAAACTGATGTCATTAAGTAAGCACATACCTCGTGAGTTCTCCAGAAAACCTAGAGCTCTATCAGAAATTGGAAGGTGGAAAGCCACAGAATTTAGGCAATTCATACTGTATACAGGCATTGTTGTTTTAAAAGATTCCATTCCAAATGAGATTTATGACCATTTTCTATTAATGAGCAGTGCATATAGGATTTTAATCGGTTCTTCTAGCAGTTCTGACATTGAAAAAGCAGATAATATGATAAAGGAATTTGTTGAAACATTTCCGGTTCTCTATGGGAGAGCAAGTGTGACTTATAATGTCCACAATCTACTCCATTTGGTAGATTGTGTAAAAGAATTTGGCAATCTGGATTCATTTTCAGCATACGGGTTTGAAAACTATATGCAAAAAATTAAAAGAAGTATAAAAATGCCAAAACACTTAACACAGCAAATTCACAACATATTTTTTGAAGAAACAATTATTCTGCCAACACCATTTGAGGGTTCAAAAATAAAAAATGGTACTATTAAATCACTTGTTAACTCCAGAGGTTATTTTTCTTGCAGTTCGCCAGACAATGTTTGTTTAATGGTCAACAAAAAATTTGTGAAAATAACTTCTATTTTAAACAAAGAACAATTTATTGCCAAAACTTTTTTAAATCCACAGAATTTCTTCAATTCTCCCCTGAATTCTATGGATCTCAACATTGCTTTTGCAAAAAATGAATTTTCTACAAGAACAACATTTTACATAAAAGACATTTTTGCAAAAGTTGTCGAGCTTCCGTACATTAACGGGTGCGTATTAATTCCAGAACCACACGATTGCATCAAATAACTTCACCAAAATGTCGCAACCAAAAAAACAAAAGCTTGACAGCACGTTGATGGCCATATTAACAAAAATAGAATCTATTCAAGAAGATGTTAAAGAAATTAAAAGTAAGTATAAGAATTTTTTGTATACTATCTATAATTTTTAAACAAATCTACTTTATTTTTGGAAATATTAACGTTTTTTTATTTATTTAGGTCATATACTTCAAAACAATAACAATGATTCTACGCAGCAAAATCTCCTTTTAGGTAAATTAAATATTATTTTTATATTTTTAAATTTAATTTGTTAAATTTCTACAATTTTCCTTTTTTAGACAAACTGTCAAATCAAAATATTAATGTGAGTAACATTTTGGCAGAACAAACAGTTGCACTTAAGTCTACTATTACATCACTTTGGCAAAACCCAAAACATCTTCAGCGTTTTCCAGTAGGCTCCGAAGATGAATTGAAGGAGTGGGAAAATGCCATTGACAATGATAACAAATGTGGAATGGTAATTTTTATTCATTGTTAAAAATTTATACAATAAAATAATGAAGATATATTTATTTAGATTCATGCAGTTAAATGTTTGCTGGGAAAAGGAGGTATAAGAAAAAATTTAAAATTAATTTTAAGCCCACACTTAATCCTCAGTTATAATCTTCACGGAACTCACAACAAGAAGAGACTGTATAGTTACAACAAAGTAATGGATGTTCTCTTGCGTAAGTATGAGCAATTACCCTACTCATAATAATCCATAACTAATTAATAACCCCTATTCTGCATATCGATTACTTTTTCGCATTCAATTCGCAAAAAGATTTTCCAAAATAGAAGCTATATTATTTCGCTTCAATCATTTACTATTGTGTGTATTCTGTATTATGATCGTAGTTAAGTTTTATTTATTTGTTTTTTATTGGTGAAGCGTCGAATCAAAATGCATAATATTAAAATTGCCAAAAAAATTTATTCGAATCGAAATTCAGTAGACAAGAAAATTTTCGTACATATTTCGAATTATATTATTATAGTTATTATATATTCTATATAGTTTTATAAAATAAGTGAATTTTTGCGAAATAATTGTTTAAATTACTAAAAAAGTCTGTAAAATTTTAATAATATTTTCTTAATCTTAGTTACAAATTTCAATTTCAATTTAGATTTTTCTTTATTAAAATTAATCAATGCAGAATTTGATTCATAAATGATTTCATTATATTCACCCGTATATTGTAAAATTATTTACCTCACCATAATTTCTAAAAATATTTGTTCCTTAAATACAAATTTATTATATTTCAATTTTTATTATTTTATTTTTTAGGTTCTACTGTGAATCCAAATGACTCTCATTCGTTTGAGAGTGACATGCGAAAAGCCATCAAAGATATTAAAAACCGTTACTTCAAAGATCAGTGCGTTAAAAAAAAGGAACAAAATACTGCCAAAGATATCCCAACAAATTAATAAATTTATATTTAAATTCATTTATAATTAATGTTTATCAGATATTTTGTGTAGCACATTTTTATTTCATACACTTTTTTGAAACTGAACTATTTTTTTTAATAATTTCATTTGTGTTCGTTCAATTAAAAAATTTAGACTGAACCAAACCAAGGATATTTTTTAAGAATGTATTTAATTTAATACGCTTATGTGTATATATAAGCATATATTTAATATAAAAATGAATGAATAATTAGTTTTTATTATCCCATGTAACAGTAATTTTCACACATGTACAGGAATCTGTGGACCATTAGTACTAACTATGTTTACTCAGTTTTTCATAATCAGCTCTTATGTCCCTGTAAAAGGACCTTAAAGTTTGAAGGACATACGATTTTTATTGATGTACATTAGACCGACTCACAAAAAATGGAGCTTGAGTTATGCAACACATATAAATATTTAAAATATTTGTTTGAAATTGTAAGTCCTTTAAACTTTGAAGTCCTTTTATAAGGACATAAGAGCTGATTATAAAAATCAGAGTATGCAGAATGGACTCTAGTTTCACATGCTATCAACTTTTCTATGTGTGAAAGCTTTTTTTCAAAATTGTTACGGGGTGTTATATATGTAAAATTGTATTTATTTTTCGTTAAGTTTTTCAGCATATTTTTTTCTGTCTACATTACAAATGAAATAAAATTAGTTAATGTTTTTATGAAAAAATTGTCAATTCAGTAATCAAGCAATTGTTGTAAGTATTAATTTTGTGACATCTATGTATGTATTGCCTTCTTAGACTCCTTATTTTTAATGACATCCTGAAGTCCTTATTTGTAATGACTTTCTGAAGTCCTTATTTGTAATGACTTCCCGAAGTGCCTTTTTATAATGACTTCTTGAAGTCCTTATTTTTAATGATTTCTTGAAGTCATTATTTGTAATGACTTCCTGAAGTCCCTATTTATAATGACTTCTTGAAGTCCTTATTTATAATGACTTCTTGAAGTCCCTATTTATAATGACTTCTTGAAGTTCCTATTTATAATGACTTCTTGAAGTCCCTATTTGTAATGACTTCTATAAGTCCCTATTTGTAATGACTTCTATAAGTCCCTATTTGTAAGCGAGCGTGGTAAGTACTTCTTTAACTCCCTATTTGTAAGCGAGCGTAGAAGTACTTGCCTCCAATGACATCACCGTGTTAAAATAATGACTCTAAATGCTAATGAAGAAGTAGTGCAAATAGGTTTTTTTAGCTTTTTAACTCATTACTTTTCAATGTAAGTTTTTCCTGGGTATCTATGTATCTACAACTATATGTACAATAAGTACTTATCTATCTGTCTATTTATGTATGTATGTGTTTGTATAAATAACATTTTTATATGTATTTTCTTTGCTTAAGTTTAAAAATAAAATTATGTTTGGAAAATAATCAGAGGTTTATGCTTTTACAGCAAATACAGTTTGTATAGTATTTGTAGAAATTCAAACTGTGCCCAAGATGCCAGTTACGTTTTTACAAACAATGCACTCCATTTACTTGGAGTAGGTACATATTTTGTTGTAACAGTTTATGGAGCAAATGTTTAAAACTTTTACTACATACTGAACGAAAGTACATAAAAGAAATTTTACAAATATTAAGAGAAAATTTCAAAATTCGTACACAAATTTTATTGTTCGTTAGAGGCGATAAATTTCTACTTTTGTTCATAGAAATTTAAATTTTCATGAAAACATTTTGCTTAGTCACAACATGAATGAATGTTTTTTCCATTATATAAAAATTTGAAGTATTAAAGAGTTTTTTTTGCTGATATTTTGTATTTTGTATTTTGCAAATATTTAAACTAATTTTCAAGCTGGTCCATGTTTTATCTCGAAACTGCTTATTACATTTTAAACTCAGAAGGTTAGGTTACATGTCACTTTTATAATTTGGCGAATACAAATAATACTTAGGTGCCTACGACCTCCAGAAAACTGCTAACTATTCTAGCGAGGGCTTGAATCCATCAGAGACTCTGTTAAAGTAGTGCACTTCATGCCCTATATTGGCCTATGTGTATTTTTTGAACCTGATGTAACTTATATATATCATCGTTTCAAACTACTACTTCTTTAGTGGCACATTACTAAAAGAGTGCAGATCAAGTATAAACATTGTACCAAGATTTTATAATCTGCGCACTTTTGGAGTCGAAACAAGCAACTTGTAATTATACCGATACGTCTCAGTCTGAACAATTTCAAGAGAAAAAGTATGTTTTTCGGTGGATGATGCAGCCTGATCATTTTTATAATAATGCAACACCAGACTTCAGTTTCTTTCGTAACCGCTGTAAAGGGAATATAAATATCTTTTTGCGAAAAGGTAATTTAATGACCTCATGATGTGAAACCCATGCCATTTCTGAGTTCAGGCAGGAAGTTAATGCAAATTACGTTGGTCTTGAGAGCCTCGATAGATGCAATTATATCTATTTAGATATTAATGATCGATCTATATCGATCGATTAAATTACAGCGTGGCGTCTGGTAGCTAACTAACTAACTAATTAACTAACTAACTAATTAACTAACTAACTAATTAAATAACTAACTAACTAACTTACTTACTTATACACCATTTTTCCTGATCCAATAGCTTGAATCGATCAGATATATAATAACTATTAAATCATCACCAGCTTAACTAAACTGGAATTAATGATCTATCTTCCTTCAAAATTGTTTTTCGATTAGTTCGTATTTGTTTGATATCCCTTAAAGGCTTGAGTATATATAATATATTTACACTGTTAAAGGGACCATCTAAAGCTTAATAAAACAAGTAAGAGTGTTATATGTCGTAAAGATAAAGTAAATTCGGAAGGTGGCTGTATATATGGACTTAGATTATTAGATTAATAAGAACGTCAGAGTAATTTTTGGAACAGGATCTACAATAAAGGACTGAGCCAATTGTTGGCCAAGTTCTCTGAAATTAAAAAAATAGTAATTCATTTTTCCGAATTCTATTATAACTCTATGAGAATGCAAAACTTTTGGAATGATTTATTACATGTACACTAATTTGTAAGATAGTTATAAACGTTAAAGTAATATTCTGAGAGGGATCTTATATGAGGGACAATTATGGACCGATCGTCTTAGAATTTGTTAAAATAATTTTTGATAGATTTCGGTTCCTAAAAAACTTCGTTAGATTCAGTTTCACACTTATCTTTTTCGAATTTCATCACTATAATGGTGGGAAAACAGTTATATAGTGATCAGCCGATGTTCAGTAATATTCTGACTGTCGATAAATATATTAAGTGATGTTGGGGGCGTATGTATTCTAATCTAGTTTACGCATCCCGACTTCTGCTTGTAAGCTAGCAATTAGTATTAATGTAGAACCCCAGGCCCTTTTTCTAGACCAGTTTAGAGCCATTCGTTTAGCAACGGATACCTAGGAGTATGTGCTCTACTTTTCATCTTGACTATGACATTATATCTAGGATCAGTGTTTCAAAGTTTCTGACATACTCTATTATCTAATGATCCTCTTGACCATGTTATTCTAGCTGGGATCAGTTTTACAAAGTTTTCGACATATTCTGTACTTGGTATTCGACTAACATTAAGGTAGGCGTGAGCAGAACTACCGCCCCTAATTAAAATATACAATAACATTTTTCTGCAGTTAATACTACATAAACATATGAAGAAGTATTGTAACTTATCGCAGCACAATGGGTTTAAATATAAATACGTTAAACTCAAAGTTAAAATGCCACCTCAGATCATTGTAGTTTTCTTTAACTTTAATTTCAAGGTTTATTTAAGTTGCATTTCCATTATTTCCGGTATAAAGATGGAAATTTAATTTATTAACTAAATGAAAATGTATTGTTGACTTAAACCGTAGGGCTTTCTGTAACAAAGAAAGTCTTTATTTATTTCTTTGTGACTTTTAAACAAAACAATTGTTGACTATTTAATGATTGTTAAAGGTGTATACAAATATATTTACATATACAGTGGACGTCCACTAGTACGAATCATATAGTGTCAGGCCCTTTCGTAATACCGAAAAATTCGTATTATTGAACAACACATTTTGTATGTTTAAATTCAAATAATACACATAAAATATTGGGTTTTATTTATTTTTGTTTTATTTTTCATGAAAAATTACATAACGGAACAAATTATAATAAATGTGTATTATTTTAAATAAATTTCTTGTACATAAACAGGCATAAAAGGGACATATTTACGTATATGAATTGTTAATTTTGAAAGTATCGTGAGTCCAATGGTTGAAATGAGATATATGTAGAAGGTATTAAATTTTAATGTTTTTAAAAAGATGTGTGCCAAAGACAATTTGCAATTTACATATGTGTTCTAAAATGTATTAAAATGTTCAGATTACATAAAACATTTATTAGAAACTTGAATGGAATATACCACAATTCTCTAATTTATAATTTTCTCTTAAAAATTAGAATAGTTATCCTTAAACCCATTGTTTTGAATGTGGAGTCACACTACTTTCAAAATTAACAGTTCATACATACATATGTATATAAATATCATTTTACTTATTAAAAAATCCATCATTTAACATCGATGTTTATTACATTGTAAAATGATTCTTACGGCTTTTTCAATAACAGCGCTTTTGAGGCTTCAATATTGTTCTCAGCAGAGTTATTGTCGGGAACTAATAAAATACTTTCCTCATTGGCGTTATCATCCAATTTAATTTCTTCTCTTGGGTCATCAAAATTCCAATAAAATAAATTAATAACACTAAATAATTGTTGATTTGTAAATATACATGCAGTAAATTGTGTGTATAGGATTTTTAAAAATACAAAACACTTGTAATAAATACAAAAAAACTTAAAAATTACTGAGCTTAAGGTGGATGATACCGAAATAATAAAATAAAAACATAATAAAAACTTCATTCATACGTAAATAAAACCAAAATTCCCATAAAAAATGCGTTATTCGTACTATCGAACAGAAAAATTGTGACTTTATTCGTACTATAGAGTAGACAATGCAACAATTTTGCCATTCGTATTATTGGATATTCGTAATAAAGAGTGTACGTACTATTGGACGTCCACTGTATTACGAATAATAAGTTGTTGTTTAGTTAATTTTATACCTTTAGCTATTGTTGTTGTTTCCTTTATTTGTTAAGACCGTAATTTTGTTTATTGAGAAAAGGTAATTTACTTAAACAATTAACACATTTCATAAGAAATAAACAAAAAGTAATTGTAGGTTGTACTTATAGGCCGCATATGTACTTTTACACTTACATATTTTTATTTTCATATCTATAAAAGACCCTAAGTTTTCTTTTTTATAAATTTCACACATTTATTAATACATACATACATTCATACATATGTACATTTTTATTTATTTTTGATAAAAATATAATTAATACCACAAATATCAAAAAAAAAAAACATTTAACAATGCAAATCATTATGAAATGCAGCGCAAATGCAACAACACACGTTTGTGTGGACTCGGGATGGAGTGTGGCATATTCTCATGAGTACTTACACATGGCACAAAATTATATAGGCAGACTTAACTGATAAAAAAAAGTAAATAAATAAAACAAATATATTTAATAAAGCTCTGCATTATTCAATAATAATAATGTTTCATAAACTATAAAAAAACCTTGGTTCGGAATATGTATTCTACGAGTAAAGTAAAATAAAAGAAAATTTGTGACACTTAATCCCCGACTAATTCTCTGTTTTATACGACAGAAGATTTACAAAATAAACTTTTTGATTTGTGAAAGTAATTCTTATTGAAAATATCGTCATTTTATCCAAGTGCTGAAAATCAGAGTAGATAAGGTTGAATATGATGAGTAATTGAATAAATAACAGGATTAGTTCCTATAATAGGACGATCTGCACAAGTATTTACTAGAGTGATTTTTGTTTTCTCTATAGTGTAGTCTATAGTGTAGTCTATAGTGTAGTCTATATTCTAGTCTATAGTGTAGTCTATAGTCTAGTCTACAGTGTAGTCTATAGTCTAGTCTATAGTCTAGTCTATAGTGTAGTCTATAGTCTAGTCTATAGTCTAGTCTATATTCTAGTCTATAGTCTAGTCTATAGCCT